CTGGGACTTCAGTCAATTTCCTAGGACAGTATAAGCAAGTTTTTGTTAAAAGTGAACCACTTCTCTACTTGTAACACTTCTCTCATTCAGTGCCTGAGGACATGGGAAAATTTAACATCAGGTCTGAATTTCTCTCTTAGTCTGTCTCTGCAAGCTGCTCTCATTGGCCATGTCTATATTCCTTTGAAAGAGCAACATTCAAGAAACTGTACTGACAGAGTTTTCTCTCTCCTTCCACCCTGCAGAGGTACCTGTCTCTCCCATTCTATATGGGACTGTGCCCAGTAGCAGCTCTAGTCCATTGAGTTTGCCCCAGCAAACCTGCTGGCTCATGGCCTGGAAAGGAGGCAAGTTCTAGCTTTCCTATCTCGCTTTGTCCAACCTTTCCTTCCCTGTCTCTATCTGGCTCTTGTCTGAGCCCTTCTGAACCTCCTGTCACCCTTGACTGGACTAATCTAAAATGCTCCACTCTGAGACTGTTATGGATTCTACAGACAGCAGATAAAAACTCGGGTTTGTACATGTGTATGATTATTGTGATGTTTTCATAAATGTCATGTCTCAGTGAAAACATCAGATGTATGCAGTCATGACAGTCATTCACATCTTTTCTGTTCTGCTTTTTATATTTAACTCTCTCACAGAAGAAGCATGTTAGAGTATACTTTTCATATAGTTATTGACTGCATATCTTAACTTCTCTAATTACAGAATGCTGCTGAATTTAGTCTTCTGAAATAATTAACTGCAGACTTCATAAAGTGTTCAGAGGACCCTGATATTCACAAAAAAACCCCCCCAAACCAACTTACAAATCAACAGGTCTCTGTGGAGAGGTAAAAGATCTTGTTTGAAATCTGTCCCAGAAGCCTTCAACAACCTAAAATTATAATTAGATGCTTCTTGTAAGGCAATATTACCTAATTAATTTGGCTTGATAGATTTTCATGCAGCAATGAGAAACAATTGCAGGACTGAATTTTAGTTTAGTAAAAATGATAATTTTTACAGTTAATAATCACAAGTAAACTAACTTAACATGAGATCTGTTATGCTACAGCATCATTCTTATCAACCAATTTTTCATCAATATCCTTATCCTCTCTTTTGGTACTGTGCACAGATATCTTCTTCCATTATCAATTTACAGGGGAGGGAGAGGGAAAAAATATGAGATCATTTGAGGCAATTACTGGAGTCTGCTCATGAGCTTAAATGCTCACTTGGGATTGTTTTTATTTGAAAACATTACTATGGGTTTATGTGCATGACCTACACAACATTTAGGCTACATTTCATTAGCAAAACCTAAAATCAGTTGGCAAGAAATTGTTCACTGACTTGGCTTATTTCAGGCTCGGGATTGTATCTCCTTTCTGTGAAACACCGGGAAACGAGATCAGCCAACACTTCTGCTGTTGATGCTGGAGGCTGGATTTTGGAAGGTAATATATTATCCCAAGAAACTTCTTCATAAGCTGTAGATCAATAATGAAAAAGAAGATAAAAAAATTCCTGTAAAATCATTAGTGAATGACATCAGTAGCTAAATAATAAGGAATGATGTGACAAAGGATGCAGATAATAACAAAGGTGTATATTTCTAATTTAAAGGGAAATGGAAAGCCCAGAATTATATGTTGCTTGTTGGAGAACAAGTAGAACATAGTACTTTCTCTAAAACTTTCTCACTAATTGAAAGAGGTACTTTATCTTTCAATAAGCTTACAGCGATGATGGGTTTGAATAATCAGTTAAGTGAGATGAGACATAAATAGAGACTAGACAACAGTCATATCATGCCTATGACAAGCATTGAAGACAGATGTCCAGAATGCCCTTTGGGAAACTCTAGTTTCTCTTCACTGCTTATAGAGGAAGTGGAGATGAAAGGCACAGACTGGATGCAAGCTTTTAGATAACTAAAGTTCATGAGACAAACCCTATGTTTAATGCTATTAAAAAAACAGAAGTTCAGAGTGAGAGAAAAATTGTTTGCAATCTTGTATGTCCTGCTACCTACAGGTGCATTGTAGAAAAACGATGAAAAAAATGAAGCGAAGCACAAGCAAAAACTGTTTTTAAAATAAATGGTGCCTCACTTTTGAGTATTTGACTTGTAGAAATAGTCCCTTGCTTTTTCTTTTCTCCACCTTGCAAGAAGGATCACTTGATTCCTAAGAGAAATCAAATACACAGCAGAAAGCAATGCTGTTGACATACATGATACTATGATTGTTTGTTTAAAGAGTGAACTGTATGTAGCTGCATTTTTCTAGTTTGCATCAGAATGTGAAACATGCTATTTCACATACTTCACCAGCCATCAATAAAGGAGATCAAAAATGGATCTATTTCTGAGGAGTTTTACTCATGAAGGAAAATTTAATATTGTTAATATAAGTTTTAAAACTAAGAGAATGTCCTTGCCTCTCTATTTAGCAATGTAGCTTTCCATCTGTTATACTATTTATCAAATGGCATAGAAAACACACTTTCTAATCCTTCACATATGCCTTCGTATGATATTCATTGCTACAAGTTGTGTTCCTTGGGGCTTAATTCTAGGACCAGTTCTGTTCAGTATATTTATCAACTATCTGGATACAGGATTTGAAAGTACCATTAGCAACTTTGCTGATGATAGCAAGCTGGTAGATGTTGACTCTCCTGAGGGAGAAGAGGGCTTGCAGAGGGATCTAGATTGATTGGATCACTGGGCTATGATCAATGGGATGAAGTTTAGTAAGTCAAAATCCCAGATTCTGCACCTGAGACAGAGTAATGGCAGGCACAAGTATAAATTGGGAGAGGAGTGGCTGGGGAGCAGCCCTGCAGAAAGGGATCTGGGGTGCTGGTCGACAGCAGGCTCAATAGGAGCTGGTGCTGTGTTCTGGCAGACAAGAGGGCAAACAGCATCCTGGGCTCCATCAGACACAGCACAACCAATAGGTCAAGAGAGGTGATTATCCTGCTGGATCCAGCACTGGTTCTGTGTGTGGTTTAAGGCCCCACCATTTAAGAAGGATGTTGAGGTCCTTGAATGCATCCAGAGGAGGGGAACAAAGCTGGTGAAGGCTGCCAAGCATGTCCTGTGAGGAGAGGTAGAGGACTCTGGGCTGGTCTAATTTGGAGAAAAGGAGGCTGAGGGGCAACCTCATGGGTCGCTACAGCTTCCTGAGGAGGGGAAGGGGAGAGGGAGCTGCTGGTCTCTTCTCCCTGGTATCCAGTGATAGGACATGTGGGAATGGTTCAAAGCTGCACTAGGATAGGTTTAGACCGGACATTAGGAAGCATTTATTTACCAAGAGGGTGGTCAAACACTGGATCGGGCTTCCTAGAGGTGTGGTTGATGCCTCAAGCCTGTCAGTGTTTAAGAGGCATTTGGACAATGCCCTTAACAACATGCTTTAGCTTTTGGTCAGCCCTGAATTGGTCAGGCAGTTGGACTAGATGATGGCTGTAGGTCCCTTCCAAATGAAGTAGTCTATCCTATCCTATCCTACCCTATCCTTATCCTATCCTATCCTACCCTATCTATTGAAGTATGTGGTAACACTTTAAGGACTACAAATAGTCTCATCAGTGTAGAAGGATGAAGGATGCCATTACATTTTCAGTATGGGAGAGACTTAATTAGACTTGTGCTATAGAACCATTGATGTATTTTGATTTACTTATCGGTTTGTGATTTGCACCAAATAAAGCAGTGCCTAAGTATTAAATATATGAGTATTTATATCAAGTATAAGGTTTTGTTATCTTTTGTACAGTCTGATATTTTTGCTCTAACTCTATCTCCAATTACACATAACTGAGATTGCTAGTATCAGTCTCACATTGCATTCTAAATGCCTTAACCAGAGTAACACTACAAAAAAATGAAAATTATTGGAGTGATGGCCACCATTAAAATGTGGTCATGCTAACATACAGCTACCTGAAATATAACCCTTATTTCTACAGATTTAGATGAAGAAATGAAAAAGTCCAATTTCACTACTACTATTACTGTAATCACTGCCCAAAGCATGCTAAATGGAAAGCAGACTAGAAACAAAATGATTGAAAAACATTTTCTGTCATTACAAGAAGAGCACCAGACACTTACCTTGAGATCTGGATCCATACAAAATGCAAAAATATGGTTTTGGTCAGGCAGAGCAGGAGCAACTTTTGCTGGAGTTCTCCAACCTGAAAAAAAGGGCTTCCTATAGTGTTAATCAGTTTGCAGCAATTCTTATTGTTTTAAACTGGATGAAAACAACTCATGCCTTCCCATAAAAATCGATGCCCCAATGTTCAGTTATCTGTTACCACTCTGATTTACAAACTTCCACAAAAATACATTAAATTACACGGAAGTTGAAAGTAAGTGATAAGTAATATCACAACATACATTGCTATGGTTTGGCCTACTCCACATATTGTCATGTACAGTACTAATTGTATAAAGGAAAGTATCCAAATTAGCAAACATAATAATAAAAGCTTGCTAATGCAACCTGAACTAGTAATTGCATATGTGTTTCTACAGCCACATAATCTTTGCCAACCCTGAAAACAATAAACAAGCTGTTCCATGAGCAGTAGGTGACTGGTTTCCTACAGATATTTCTCTCCCTCCTTCATCCTCCCAACTCCATATTCCAATAATCTGACCAGATCCTGTAAAGCAAGCTTACCTACCAAGAGGCCATATCCTACAGTTAGTGTAAAGTCACATATGTACTCATTGGTGAGCCAGTACACACATGCTGATAATCAAGTGAGCTGCTGCCAAACAAAGACGTTATAATGCCCAAGCTCCAGCTCCCTCACGAGGAACACTGATTTATGTCTTTCCTCTCCCCAGACTTCAAACTTCAGAATCTTGCAGGGGTGCAATTATCCTTGAAGTGTTCATAACTCTGTCAAATTTGGCAGAAATTGGCCAATGGGGTTAAGAGTTATTAGGGGAGAACCAATAGGAAAATAAACAAGATGAATGGAAACAACTTGCCTCCTTAGGAAATCAGGACAAAACCCACAAAATAATCCTATAAATAAGGTAAGGGATACATATGAGAGTATCATTCAAACTGCTGTGCCATTAACTAGCATAATGCTTTTGGTGACTTTAGGAAAGGTGTATTTCTAAATATGCTTTTTGTACTACACTAAAAAGGGTAGGCAGCCACACAGCCATCACACCACTCCCCCTATGAACACTGAAAACTATTAATTTAGTATCAAAAAATGTCATACTTAGGTATTTTTCAACTGCTTTTTACTTCCAGACCCCTACAAATTTCCAATGCATGTGAAGACCTTTATGTAGCAAATTTAAGCTAATTCATAATATAGTTACTTTTCCTAGTTATTTGTAGAAATTTTAGGTATACTTTGGAAAAAATAGTTCAAAGATTAAAAGCTGAAAACCAATGTGCAGAATGTGAAATTAGTTTTCACAGAACTAATCACTCTGCCAAAGTTTAAAAGAAAATCACAGTTTTCAGTAAAAGAGACTAAGTTATACATATCCTAATGCTGTATGTAGCATACTGAAATAGTGTGACCTGTTTTTTAAAAGAGCTTTTTGCACAGTGTGCTATAACTTTTAAGTTGCTGCTTTTGAAAAGCTTGACAAAATCTATGGATCTTTGTAGTGTGAAGAGCTTTCAAACTAAATCACTCTCCAATTAAAAAAAATTCTTTTGGAAAGTGTCTCTTAAACAGGTAACATGCTTGCAGTAAAAATGGTGGCTGCATCTTCATTGCCTCAGCCAGCTTTGTGTAAACTTTAAATGCTACCTGTAAATACACAACTTGTACTCACATGGGAATGCTTCCACTAAGTTCTGTCTGCAATGTTTAATTACTTAATACGTATGCATGTACTAATGTCCTCTACAGTAAAGAGGTAGAGGCTCAAATACATCCATCCATATGTCCTCGTAGTTCCATAAAAATAGCCTTCCTCTGGTTCATTGCCTCAAGAGTTAACGATTACAATTCTTATTCCTCGTGTTGCATGTGTAAAACACTCATGTCAGCTACAATGTCCTTAGCAGGACGTGTGTATAATTTTACATTTGCTTTCATAATTGTACATATGCATTTCTATAGACCTCTGCTTGTGCATGGTATGCTGTAATCTGCCATCTTGACATTAGTGGCCTACTGCTGGGATGATTTATCTTTTAACATTTACTTCTCCTTTTGCTTTCAGTGGAAAGATCTAGCCTAAAAACTGCAATAATTTTTTCTTAAGTCAACTTTCTGAAGGTTTCAATGCCCTGATGATTTGCTCAGTCCACAGGATTGAAAATGGCATGATCTGTTCTTGTCAAGTTGGGAACTCACTGTCTTGGCTTTGTCACTTTTAACTAATGACAAGCTTAATGACACTGCCAGTTTCAGTTTATTGCTTAAACTAATCTCCTAATCTGACAAAGCAGGATTCAATGACGGATAATGAATTTGGGGAATTTCTGGTTTGGATTCTGAGTCAGAAACTGAAGATGTACTCATTCACATTTCTAAGCTGCTTCTCAGAAACCATGAAAGTCAGAACATCTTTTTGTTTTGTTTTTAAAGGAAAAAGTGAGATTCTTATGTCACCGCATAAAGACATGCAGAGAGGTTTCCGAAAACCAGCAGTCCCACAAGCTGTGCACTGTTTTTGACCTCTTGTATTTTAAAATTAGTAGGAGTATTGACTCTAGTGGGCCCAGCAAGAGGTCATAATGCCAGCTGAGGGTTTACAGATAACTCTTTCAGATTATTTTGCTTAGTTCTTTTGTTAATTATTCTATTTATCTTCATATATGAAAAATAAATAAACCTATTAACACTACTGCTTCTCTCTCCTGCTTCTATGGAAGGAAAGGCCACAAATAACCCCTGCAAAAATAATTATAAATAAGCATAAAACCCATCAGTTTATATTGGAAAGACATGCATGACAAAAGAAGCTACAGTGACAGAACAAAGTTGCTGAATAAACAAAGGATCACTTTGTTGGCAAGTGAAAAACAACCAACCAGTGAAATACACAACTGTAGGGACAATAAATAATCAAATCCTTAGTGAAACCACAGTTATTTTCTTCAATGACACTCAGCCGTCACAAATTTATTCTGAGTTTTTATGCATTATTTTCAGGTGAACTACTAGTTTATTAGGCAGTACACTATTACATATTTCATTGTGTTATGGGTAACTATTTAACAGCACAGATATTTTTGAGCCTATTGTAGGCCACTTTGCATTCTTAGTTGACTTTGTTCATATGCCACAATAGTTATGAGCTATGCATGTTATTTATGAGTGTCCTTGAATTGTTAAATTTGATGTTTTTCAAGTTGCACATTTTTTTGCTCTTTGCTTTACATTTTGTTGCCTCTGACTTAATGTTTCTTCTTTCTCTTTCTGCAGGCAGGAAGGAGGTTTTATCTCACTAAGTGCCTGTGTTATAAACTGGAGCTGTACCAGCATTGCCTACAGCCATTTTCCATCATTATTTGAAAGGCAGGAGAGGCTGGAATCCTACTTTGATGAGCCTCACACCAATGTGCTGCTTAATCCTGGATAATTCCTGGATTATTACTTTTCCAGAGTAATAATTTCTTGCTTCAGGAGAGGAAGCACTGGGAAGTGAACCCTTCCTATACAAAGGCCATTGCAACCAAAATTATTTCAACAAGTTCTGCATAAAATTCTTCAACAGAGTCTCTTAAAGTAAAAACAGAATAAAGATAAAATTTTCACACAGATAAAGGGCTTCATCACCAGGTTTGCAGGTACAAACATACCTGCACAGTCAAATTCTGAGGTCCTCCTAAACACTGCAAAGAAACTTGAGACCACAGAGAACAGGTTAAAAAATCCTGTTGTCATATGAATGAGAGAAGGAGACTCTACAGGCAAACACTGTCAACTTCCTAAAGACTGTCTTCTAGCACTGAGCACCTGCCCTATACTGACCGAGAATATATGAAGAATAGTTCTTCAGCTATCTCCTTTCTCTGGTAGCTTCTGATTCTCCAGTCTTAGAACGACCTTTGTCAGCCTCTCACCTTTGCTTTCCTACCACAGAACCTCACTGTTCAATAAACCTGCTTTGCTCAGTAGATGCAAAAGGCTGCTGGGGAAGTTCAAAGTAACACTGTTGACTGTCAAAGCCATAGCACTACATCTCACAACAGAGAACCTCCTGCCTATTGCAGATGTTTTATATACCTCAGCTCATCCGTCTCAAAGGCTGCTTCTGTCTCTGTTGGTTTTTTTTCTGTTCTTCTCTGACACAGTGGAGAAAGTGACTGTAGAATTTGCTTGCAAAATGCCTGACTGATGTCTCTTTCAGCACAACTTCCCCAAACAACTTAGCTGTGGAATGTCTCGGGACTGATATCTAGAAGCATTAGCAACTTTCATCACATCATGTGCCTGGGGCTCTCTGAATCATACAGCTGAAATCTGCAATTTGTTTACACAGACTCATTAAAAATAGTAGCTTAAAACTCAACTACTTTCTATATCTATATTTACACATTTGCAGTTAATACCTCAGCATCACAGGAAAACTTGCAAATGTATACTAGATTTGGAAGAACATTTGCATGGCTTTCCTTAAGAAATTTATGCTGGACTCTTTGTCCCTGAGTTAATTTGACTCTTTCCAATAGCTTCAGTGGAGTCAGTATTTCACTCTTAATAGTGAACTTTACCCAACAAAAAATCACCAGAAAGCCACCAGACTATTTCTATCTGCTTTCTGGAACTACTCTCCATTCAGACCACTTTCTTGACTGTAACCCTGGTTCCTGGCTTGATGATATTCAGTCTCAGATTTTGTCTGTGTTCATTTCAGGTGTGTGTTTATTTGCCAGAGTATCTCTATCTGTTTTTCTCTGCATTGGAAAAATTAATGGTCAGATAGAATTGCATATCTCAAATCTTCTTTCCCCTTCACTTTTCCAGAGGCTTGAAGAAAAAAACCCAGCTGATCAGTTCTGGTTGGTGTCTGAGGTCTAATTTAAAATGTAAATAGAGAACACAGTAACTGAGAAATAAGAGTGAAAAGTACATGGGATGAGCAAAAAAGGAAAATTATTTTCTTTATCCCTTGTGGTTTCTTTGGTTCTTTTGTGTTCTGTTATGTGACTGCAGTAAGCTTAAAGTGATTTAAGATACAAAGTACAAAGACAGAAACAAGGAACCAAAACCACTGCCTGAATTTATAGCATGTAGAGACTTAATGGTGACAATAACATGGACAAAGTCTAGCTAACTGTGAAGTGAGGGTTATCTCTGTATAGTAAAATGAAACAACTGGCTTATTTACATTTCTTTACCATGTTCTAAGAAATGCCTCCTCCCATCTATGAGCAAGTTGCCCAAGTTCTTATCAAATTTTGTTCTAGTTGTAATGAGCATTTCTCTATGACAATCATTGGAATTGGTTTAATCTTTATAAAAATTCAACCATATTGCCTACTGCTAATTGTATCTGCCCTTAGAAGCCCTGGGTTGACATATTTCTGCTTCTGAGTATTAACCACCGAAGAAATTTTGCTTCATGTTAAAAAGAGTGAATTTCCATTTTGATACTGTAATCAATAGACAATTATCATACCAAACTTTATGTGTAACACATTGATATAAAATAAGAGAGCAATATGTACTTTGACCAACATGTGATAGCAGTCCTAAAGAACTTCTGTTCTCTGATCAGCTACACACTGGAATAGGTCTTTAAATGCACTGCACTGCAACTTGTCAGGAAATACTAAAAGACACAGAAATATCCAGGGGATTTCCCGACTCTGGAGTGATTTGTTGTTTTCATTTACATTAAAACAGGTGCTCATTAGGACTTTTGTATGTAACTTCACAATTTACCAAAATAATTTTTAAAAAACATTATTTATCTTCAATTTTATTTTATTTTATTTTATTTTATTTTATTTTATTTTATTTTATTTTATTTTATTTTATAAAAAAAGTAGAATGCTCATTAGAATTTTCTGACTGGTACCTCTTTGCTACAGCAGGGACAATGAATCATACAATCACTCTACTGCAGTTGTTATATTAAGTTCAAATATCCAGGACAAATATATTTTATAAGGTTGTTCTTTTAGGACCTTGGGGAGTGGAGCTCAGAAACTAATTGTATTTATCTGTTAAGCATCACCAATTTCTTTGGTGATTAGGAAATAAAAATAGTAGTTTGCTGTACCTCTGAGTCATGCCTGGACAGAAGCAGCTGACACAGACCTGGAGTCCCACCTTCTGTTCTGGCTGGTTTCCTCCAGGAGGACCATCTGCCTGCTGTGGGCAGTCTAGCCTCTCCTTCCTGTGATGGGGATCCACTGGCGAGGTTTCACATCGCTGTCCACTAGGGATTCAATAGCTCTTCCAACACTGGGCTGCAGGTCAGCGTCTGCTCCTGGACTCACAAAACCTGAGCAGGGATGCACTAAAGGTATACCATCCTGGTGGGGCACACCATCCTGCTGTGGGAATAAAGGGTCATTCAGCCCTACTGGAGGGGTGAATGGATTAAATTTAAGGAAAGAATTACTGTTTTTCTCTTCAAAGCTGGCAAAGTCATGTCTGTTCTCAGGACCTCTCACAACAGGCATGCACATCATCTTTAACAGAATTCAATACTGTTGGCAATCCATCTTGTGAACTGGTTCAACTGATAAGGTGGACTTTTTAAAGGCACTTGCCTGCCTTTCAGCTCAATGGGAAACCACAGTCATTCTCTTCTATCATCCCTATGTGGCAGTAAACTTAAAAGACTCCACCTGCTCTTGTTTCTCCAAGTTTCTGAAGTTCTAGCCAACAAACTGAAGTAAAACTAGAGGTCATCCTCCAGAAGATCAGTACACAGAAACCATAAAGAGCATGGCAGTGGTTCAAGTAGTGAATTCTTTCCTGAAAAGAGATTTATCAAGTATGATACAGAGAGAACACCACCATTGAATAAGCAGAGAGTTTTTCTGTTGCTTGGTAACGATGGAAACCATCTCACAATGAAATGTCTGCTGATGTGAAACACGGTTCATGTGACTACCACAGTAATCTAGTCCTTTAAGTGGGCACACATAGCAACTTGAAATGACACTACCAGTTACTTATTCATCTTGTAGAGGCGAAATTAAGAAGTTTTCAATCTTACTAAGAATTATATGGTGTTTTCACAGAAGTATTTTCAAATTCAGCTATTCTGTTGGTATCACAAATATGAATTAAATTGAAAAACAGATTTAACACCAAAAAAATTTCTCAAACAGAACCACAGCTAAATGCAAATATAGAAAACTTAGAATTATTACTTGGAATGAAAAAATCACATTGACATCAGAGTTTTCCATGAAGTTTAATTTCCTCCAGAGTTTTGCCATTTGTTCTATGGCAAATCAGGATGGCAAATCCACTAATGTCTCAGGTCAGAATATGCAGCACTTATTTCCAAATCCCAAGCCCAAGTCTTCATTGAGCAATTTAAACAAAAGCAGTCTGGATTTATAGAGGTCCACTCTGCATTAATTCCGTGGCATCTGCAAATGTCTGGCACTTTGGAAAAATCAATCTATGTTTATTTGGACAGCTCCCTTCACATTATGGAGCCTTTACTCTGTGACCTTGTCAGGAAAAATAAAGGCAGTGTCTGATCTTTCTCTCATTTATGTTAGTCTCATACAAATGTAACTTCTCTGAACTCCAAATTTGCTCTTTATTAACACAAAATCAGAAATGGACCTAGTGTGTTACAGTACAGGTTTATAGTAATTAAAATTTGTGTTCTATGATGCAGAGGCATGGTGATTTTTCTTTGGAGTAGTTTGCTGATGGAGCAGAAAATAAATAAATAAATAAGCAAACCCTCCTTCTTTATTAAGATAGCTTTAATCTATAGGTCACAAGAACTAAAATGGGTAAAAAGCGACACTTGAGAACACTATATGTGCAGTATATAGTTTTAGCCAGCATTGTAAGGCTAAGATAACACCATGAAAACACACAACTCTGCCTGAAACAAGTTGGGTTTTCTTTTTCTCCTACTTGCACATTCAAGTTAGCAAAAAGATACTTCCAAATTTGACTTCTGTCTTTAACAAGCCTTTAAAATGTCATACTGGTGTCTGTATTTACTGACACTCACTAATCTCAATACCAAAGATATTCAGTTTTACGCTAGAAATAACATCCAGTGTTGCAGACTGGCCACCTCCCCCCTGCTTAGCTTCTACTGGAAAGCTTTAGAAAGACGAGGAGCGAAGACATGGGAGCCAGGTAAGGCACGGGTTGGAAGACATTGCAAGGATGGCTCATGTTTTGTTGCAATAATTTTGCAGAATGAAATGCAATTAAAGCTTTATCTTAGATTTCACTGACAGATATTTGTCCAGACTATCCTGGGAAGTAAATCTGCCACCTAAGGCTGAATTATTTCTACTGTCAGTTTGCAGAAGTGATCCGTACCTGAAGGAAGAACATTGATGAGCTGGTCATACATATAAGCTATTCCTCTGTACTACATGTCTGCCTTTTACTCTCTGCTTCAGGCTTCCCGTGGAGCAGTCTTTTTGGCTCTGATGTTTTTCTCTGGCACGGTAACAGCATACCAGATTTTCCAATACAGGGAAATATTCTTGCCAGACTTTATTTCCTTCCCAGGTAATTCATTTTCCCGTCTTCCATTCTTTCCTTTCTCTAACCTACTACAAACTAAAAACGCTTAGGTCACGGGAACAGGCCCGTGCCCTGGGATTCCAGACACTTTAATTGGCTTTTCGTAGCAGTGACTACAAAAAGACTGAGCAGCGCAGCTGTGGATGCTCATGACACTGCCCAGGTGAGCACAGAGCTCTCCAGAGTTCTTCTCTTTGGCAAAGGGAGCTACTTCCTCGTTTTTTCTAAGGAGGGCGAGGCCCCGGCTGTTTCCCAGGAGCTGCCCCTGGAGCGGAGGCGCGGGCGTACTGCTGCGTTAATGGATCGGGATTAATTATGTCCAGCCCGGCAGCGGGACCTCGGAGGACGGAGCTGCGGCGGCGGCAGGTGTTTCCCGGGGCTCTGAGGATGTGAAAGCCGCCCCCTCCTCCCC